AATGCTACCCAGTTTCTAGATATTGTGTGAAAGTGTGTGGTGTGTGTGTGTGTGTGTGTGTGTGTGTGAGAGAGAGAGAGAGAGAGAGAGAGAGAGAGAGAAAGAAAGAAAGAAAGAAAGAAAGAAAGAGAGAGAGAGAGAGAGAGAGAGAGACAGACAGACACACACACACAGAGAGAGAGAACATTCGTGGAGTCTTAGACCACCTTAAAAGGAGTCCCAGTTCTTTTAACCGTGGGTCATTGACTTCTTCCTATGGAAGTCAGTAGCCGAAGTGCAACAGTCTTAGCTGCCGATATTTCAGATTATAATTTTTTGGGGGGGCTCGAACTGTAACAGCGTCTGCTTCGGAGGCAAATCTCCAGTAAAAGCTCTTTCTGTACTGCAGGGAATGGCGTTCCAGGTGTGCAAAACGCCAAGCTACCACGCCTTAAGAGCAAAGGTCATAGTGGGCTTGGAGGCCAACTTTTGGCCTAAGGGCTGACCCCTCCACTGGTCTAAAATGGGCCGATCAACTAAAAGGACGGTCAGAAGAGGGCGACCTGCCTGCCTTGCTTGCCAAGAAACCCTGCGCTTCCTTGATCCGGAGCCCTTAGCTTAACCAAACACGGGTTCGGACAACTAGAGGTGGCGATCCCATTGGCATAGTTGAGTAGGAACAGCTGGGGAGACCGATGCTCCTTGTATAGGCCAGAACGTTAGGATCACCTCACAAGGCCCCTTTCACCTGAAAGCGTCCCTGAAGCTCTTCTGCCCCGTTCTTTTTCCACTACCCCCTCCCCTCCTTTAAAAAAAAAAAAACCGGGTTTGGAATCCTGATCCCGAAGGCTTAAGCCACCCAATCCATGCAGGGCAGAGTTACCCACTGTGGATCCTCCACGAAGGAAGGCCCAGCTTCCGATCCCTTGCCTGGGGCTCTCGAGAAGCTCTTTTCCACCAGCGCCGCCTGCTTGAGGTGACCCTGGGGGAAGAGAAATCACCCACTCCTGTTAGTGCCTGGGAGCCCAATGGCGCAACACCCTCGCCGCTGGAACGCGCGGCGTGACAAGGGAGCGGAGAAGGGGTGTGCGTGGGTGCCTGCGCGCAGTTGACTCGCCCTGCCAGCGGCGTGAGGACGGGCCTCGGAGCGAGCCTCCCCGCGGCTGGATTTGAACCAGAGAGAGCGAGCAAAGCGCCACTTGTCCTCCTCGGGGAGTCAGGAGGAAAAGGAAGAGCGAGAGGGGAAAAGACCAAACAGAAATTGGGGAAGATGTTCCAGAAACCGGTTGTACGGCTCTTGGTTTAGTACTAAACGTCCGGATGCTTGAAGAGTTTCCAGCAGCCAGTTCTGCTGTCTGCTTAAGTTGGGGGTCCCCTTGAGCGGATGGGCCCCCCAGAATCCGAAGCCATTTGCTTCCCAATGAACTGGCTAATCTTTTTCAGGCCCTTGTTGGAGGTGTAGGAGGGCTGGCTACAGCTAGTTTTCCCAGGGAAGAGAGTTTCTGCTTTCTTTCTTTCTTTCTTTCTTTCTTTCTTTCTTTCTTTCTTTCTTTCTTTCTTTCTTTCTTTCTTTCTTTTTCTTTCTCTCTCTCTCTCTCTCTCTTTCCTTCCTTCCTTCCTTCCTTCCTTCTTTCTTTCTTTCTTTCTTTCTTTCTTTCTTTCTTTTTTGGGAGTGATGGGGTTTTGCTGCGCTCTAGGCTGTTTCCTTCGCAAACGTGATTCTCCTCGGCGGGAGGACGGAGGTGGACGCAGCGGTAAAAGGGCAGCTCCATCCAGCAACATTTCAGGGCCGCGGTCTCAGCGTCCGACTTAAGGGAAGAGTCTTGGTTTTCAAAAAGAAAGGCCATCTCAGATCTTTCTGTTGCGCCGACACGTCCCGCCTGCCTGATGAGAAATCAATTCGGATTAGCATAAAACAGAGGAGCAACGTGATCATCACGGTAAACGGAGGAGGAGGAGGAGGAGGAAGAAGAAGAGGGGATCCAAACGCTTGGCACAAGCCACGGAAGGAAATTAAAAAAGGAAATAAAAGTTGGAAGCAATAGAGATATGTAGCCAACGCTCCACACTGTTTTAAACAAATTAGGCTCTTTCCCATCTCCCATCAGTCAATCTGGTTGGAATTCGATTCCAGATATATTGGGCGACTTGGCAGGTTCTGCTTGCCCTCAAAATGCGTCTTTCTCCGCGGTTCCTCCAGCCCTGAAAAGGGAGCTGATTTCGAACAGAAAAGAAAAGCTGGGTAGGAAAATCCTCAGCTTGAGGCTAACCCCCTTCCCCATATGGCTCTCTTCACCTCTCTTTGTCCCTTAGGAAGCAGAGGGCTATTGTCTGTAAAAACAACAACAACAACATTGTGGCCTGGAGTCAAATTTATTTCAGTCTGACTACTAACCTGCCTGAGCTCCCCCCAGAAACCACCTGTTGTTCCAAGTGCTTCTAATAACAAGTCTATCTTGGAATTGAGTCCAAGCCATTCTACTCGAGAGCACAACCTTGGAGAATTGGGGGACGCACCTCACTGTTCCCGGTTAGCTGAAAAAGCGCAGAGGGGGCCCAATTCATGCCTTCCATATGTGAATAGGCAACAAATGTGCCTTAAGATACCGAATTGCGGGGGGGGGGGGGGGTTGGACTTTCATCAGTGTAAAAAAAACCTCAGAAAGTCGACTGCGCGGTTTTTCCCCCTTGCTGCTAAAAAAATTGGGATTCACCAATGCTGCGCTTAGGCAGCGCGTTGGGTTTGGAGAAAAAGCGCGCGCGCGCGTGGGGAGGCGATCTGGTTAAACAAAAATTAAGAAAATCCAGAGAACGAGAAAAAAGGTGTGTTTTTTTAAAGCCCAAACTGAGTATTATTTATTATTTTATTTATTTATTCTTATTTTATTTTATTAAATAAAGAAGGATCTTTAGAGTAAAGAAGGATCAGGCCCGACTCAGCTCGTTAACTCCTTTTTCTGGCTGGAAACGGATCTCTCGGGAAACCGATCCCAAGGGTCCAGAATGAGATTGCAGGTTGCGGTGGGTTCAAGTCGAGAAGAGAGCTAGCCGGGAGGTGGGTGGGGGAGTCCGGTCCAACGGACAAGGATCCCCTCGGAAGCATCCCTTTGAAGGGGGTTTTCTACGCTCTTTCCGACTGAAGAAATCGCGGGGACATTTGGGGAGGGGGGCTTAAGGCGAGAAGCAAAGTTCAAGGACCCCCGGGATGCTGTCACTTTAAAAGCGAGGACACCCCAAAGAGAAGCGCCCCGCTTCCTCCCCCCCCCCTTTCGGGGCCCAAAGGGCTTTTACAAAGGGGTTTCTCCCCCCGCCCCCCCCCCAAGTCCAACCATGGCAGAGTGTGCGAGCGAGCGGCGTCCC